GAAGGCTGGGCACGAGCAAAATCCATTTTCCATATACCTGTACTAATAAACCAGGTAATTTCAAGACATGTTTATGGGCACTGCAAGTTCACCACGCCCTGTACAGGGCCAGGGATTGGACTCCATGATCCCTGTGGGTCCCTCCCAACTCAAGATATTCTGTGATTCCATGCCAAAATCTGAGTATAATCATTAGAATGAGGTAGAGACATATTTGGACTCTCCCAAGTCACCACAACCTGTGCAGGTTTCAGTAATCTACAGTGGCCAGGAATCATTCCCAGTGCTGAATATGGAGGAAGTTTCCTGGTTTTGAAGGATGAGAGAGTTCATTTCTTGTGTTTTGGCCTCAGGAAAAGTGAACCAGCCTGAGATTCCTCCTCTTGGTCAGCTTGTGGCTGTGTGGGACAGGGCACCAGGACCCTTCTGTCCCCAAAGCACAGCCCAGAACCTGTCCTGGTGTGCCTTTCTGGGCTCCCATGACCCTTTTACACACCCACACCCTCCTCCCCTCAACCAGCCCCTTGCCAGAGCCAAGTGACACTGGTGACACCGGGACCCACCAACCACGCCAAGACCCTGCAATAGCTCACCTTGCAAAATTATCAACACAATCCCTGGAAATTTTGGCCAACTAGATGGATGTAGCCACGCAGAGCTGAGCCCTGCCAGCTGGCCAAGGACTGCTTCATTTCAGGATACAAAACCAGAGCCTCAGCCTCCAGAATCCATCCCCTGCCATGCACATGGAGCAGCTTTTTCCACAGAGCCCAGGGTGGGTTGTGTTTTTCCAGCTCTTCTCTCTCCTGGTGGGCTCCTGCAGCTCTTTCCAAAGGTTATTTGACCACATTTGGTGGATTTGGCTCCTTAAAAAGGCATTTTGGAGCAGGGACAGCAGTGACTTTGACCCCAGCAGTTCGTGTGCTGCTGTGACATACGTAGTAAATAAGAATGAGGGTAATTATACCAACAGGAATTCTGGGAGCCCTGCCAGGAGGGAGGGGACAGCCAATCCTTTGTGCACTGAAAAAAAAAAAAAATTAAAAATCACCCCAATCCCCCTCTCAACCCCAAATTAGTTCTATCTTTTGAAGCTGTGATGAGACTTAGAACTAAAAATACACACAAATACACACACTCGTATTTAAAAATAGCCAGCATTCCAAAGAAAAGAAAAAAAAAATCCCAAAGTTAGGCTCCTGTATCCAAAATTAAGCTCTTAAATAAATAAATTAGCCTGGTTTTTCAACAGCACAGAGCAGTGAATGGTTTTCACTGACATAAGAGGAAGCATCATGTTGCTAAAGATTGAAGATCAGGCCTGAATATGGATTTAAAAGTCTAATTATAGAAGCCTGTTTGCCACCAGCTTGACCGAGAACAACGAATTTCAGGTGAAATGACATTGATTTTTTTTTTCTTCATTCTTCTTAAGGTGTCTACACATAAAGAGTATTAGGAAAGGTTGGAAAGATCCTCAAAGAAGTAAATAAAATACCACAAAGAAACAGATGAACTGGAATAAAACTGTTTACACCAGTTCTGTACATTGGTGTTTGGAAATAGGGTTAAGAATTGTCAATGTCAGAGCTGAGTGAAATTTTATATTCTTTAATTAAGTAGGTATTTATTACTTGCTGAAAGCCCACAAGGTGCAAATATTACTTTTCCCAGTTATACTCACAATCCACTGGCATCAAGAAGGAATGGGATCTTAGTCATTCCTTTCCTCTCTTTGCCGGATTTGGGTCTGAAGGATACTGAAGATAGGGCACCAAATGTTTTCATGGGCTGGAGAAAAAAATAAAAGGAAGTTAATTTACCTTCAGCTGCAAATGGTCCTCGGAGCTGCCTTGCTCACTCTGGCCAACATTTGCCAAAGGGTTCCTGAGGTCACAGTCCCATAGGATTGGGACAGATTTGTCCTTTGGGGTCAGATTGGGCAGGGCTGGGATTTATGCTGGGGAGGAATTATGTCCACCCTGGCTGGAGGAGCATCAGCAGGTAGGGCTGTGCTCTGCTCATGTGGTGTTTAAAGGCAGGGGATAGCATTAAAAGATCTGGGGTTTGATGCCAAAGAAGCTTTGAGAGAACCTTTTTGGTGCTCTCTGACTCAGTTTCCCCATCCATGCAAGAGGTAAAATGCAGGTGACCTTTGCCAAAGGCTGTGGGCTCAGCAGTCAGGGAGAGCTTGGTGTTTGTGCCATTGCCACTGATGCAGACAGGATCAGGACACTGTGTCAATCCCATATATTTGAATATTTTTCCGTGCATCCTGCCTCCATGGATTGGTGTCTTGTCCTCTTTTTGTGGACAGTAAGAAAAATTTTTGCTTAAACTGTGGATGGTGGTGAATCCCTAGAGATTCACCCCTAAGCCCAGAGATCCAGGAGCAATCATTGCAGGACATTATATCCCTTCTGATAATTCCTTCTTAATCTCTTCGAGTGGCCCAATGTCATCGTTGCAGTTTGGTTCAGCCAACCTGGAGGGCTGGGAAAAGTAAAGGTGCTCTTAAAAATAACCCAGAACTGGAGACAGCTGTTGGGAGCAGTATAGAAGAGTAGAGGTGCAGGAAATGTGAACTGTGAGAAGGCACTGGAAGAAAATTTTTCTGTAGAAAAGGAGGTTCGGGGGGGATCTTCTTGCCCTCTTGAAATGAGGGGGCAGCTGGAGGGGAGTTGGGCTCTGCTCCCAGGGAACAGGGACAGGATGAGAGGAAACAGCCTCAGGTTGCACCAGGGAAGGTTCAGGTTGGACTTCAGGAAGAATTCCTTCAGGGAAAGGATTTTCAGACATTGGAAGCAGCTGGTCAGGGAGGTGGTGGAGTCCTCATCTCTGGAGGGACTTAAAAACCATGTGGATGTGGCACTTGGGGACATGGGTCACTGGTGGCCTTGGCAGTGCTGAGGAATGTTTGAACTCCATGATCTTAGAGGTGTTTTCGAACCTTAATAATTTTATGGTTCTACGGAATTGTGATTTTTTTAATCTGGAGAAATGAAAGGTTTACATGGCAACTATGTGCAAACAGGTAGGAGACTGCTGCAGGGTGAAAACCAATAAATTCTTCTTGTCCGTGGCTGAGGTGATGAGAAATGAGTGGTTTAACCTTCCGAAGAGGAGTTTAGGTTTTGTGTACCAGCAGGAATGGGAGCTCCATGGGGAGGGGGAGACCATCGAGGACTACGGGACAGATTTGGTGGAATTTGGCAGAGGTGATGGTGCCTTTGCAGCACCTTATGGGCAGCACCACTTGGCTTTTGCTGGCCCTGTGTCACTGAAATGATAAAAACCATTGCATTCTCCTTGAGCCAAGACCCTCTCCCCGACTTTGCCTTTCCAGCTAAACTGCATTTATTCAATTCCTGGGTGAGGGGAAGGCAGGATGCCTGTGCCGTGCCGCAGCTCCTGGGGTTGGGGTTTTCCATGGAAATGCCAAGTGCAGGTGATGGATTCGGGGGTGTTGGGGGAGCAGGTGCCATTCCCATCCCACTCGGGCTCTGCTGTGGATGTCACACAGTGTCACCGGTGTCGTATGTGACCGCCGTAGCGTTTCCTCGAGTGTCGAGCCCCATCTGGTGGCTTCCCTGCGTCATTTTTTAATTTGTTTTTTTTCGGTGTCCTTGCAGTCTTCTTTCGGGATTTTTCGCCTCCTGTGCCAGTCAGCTGCGAGCGGGCAGCAAGGACAAGATGCTGGGTAAAGGGCAGGGCTGTGTCTGCCTCTGTCCCAGCTCCCCATCCCTGGGTGGGATTCAGAGATCCAGGGGCTGTCCAGGCTCTCATCCTCCCCTCCTGCTCTCCCGGCTGTGCAGGGGATGATCTAATCGTTCTGGCCAAACCCCAGCTTGTGCCGTGAGCCCCTCCCAGAGCCTCCGGAAGGTTCATCCCACTCCGTGCTGGGACACATGAATGTCCCGGGAGGGGACATTTCCAGCGATTGACTGGCTCGGCTTTAGGGTCGGCTTTAGGTGAAATGGTTCCATCCCGAACGAGGTTACAGCCACTGCTCGGGATGAGAAGGAAGAAAACCCAATATGAGATTGTCAATCCCTAGAAGTGTCCAAAGCTGGGCTGGACAGGGCTTGGAGTAGCCTGGGGTAGTGGAAGGTGTCCCTGCCCATGGCAGGGGGTTGGGACAAGATGATCTTTAAGGTCCTTTCCAACCCAAACCATTCTGAGATTCTGTGATATCAACAGGCATTAGAAAGGATCCTGTTAGGGCTCTTTTCTTAAATGCCATGAGTCCTGAGACACAGGCAATGGTAGAGCTGTGCCTGTCCATGCACAAGACACCTCCTTCTACTCCAACATTGCCCAAAATCTCAAAGCTGTCACTTTGACCAGTGACAAACCGTGGCCTTTCACATCTGTGGGTCACACACCTGCTGCATGTGAAGGCGCTGTTTCGTTGCTCCGTCTATGATGAAATAGGGTCAAATCACAGAACCACAGAATATTCCGAGCTGGAAGACACCAAATTCTAATTCCTGGGCAACTTCAAGAATCCCACAATGAGCCTCAGAGCGTGGTCCAAACACTTCTTGAGCTCTGGTGTCTGTGAGAGAAGCTCCTTCCCAGAGTGCTGAAGGGGTTTAGATGGTCTGTCAAGCCACTTCCAAGTGTTAGGATCAGTATTTTTCATGTGGGTTCTTTTCTTGTGATGAAAATTAGGTGAGGGAGTTGTTTTCTTGTTCTTCAAAAGCATTTCCTACTCCCAGGCTTCACGTTTGGGTGGTACCAGTTAAAATTTTCCCAGCCTTGCAACACCGAATGCACTTCATTCTATGGCTTTGTTCTCAGGGTGGCATCCAGCTTAAGGTTGGGCTTGATGATGTTGGAGTCTTTTCCAACATTAATGATCAGTCAGATTCTAAAAATCCTCCTCAGATCTGACAGGAGGGAGCATTGCCAACCCCAACGTCTCCTCATCCCCCCACAAACAAGTTTTGCTGCCCTCCAGCATCTCACACCCAGCTTTTCCCTCCTGTTCCCTGCAGGTATATCCGAACTATGTACCTGGGGATCCAGAGCCAGAGGAGAAAGGAACACCAGCGGCGTTTCTACTGGGCTATGATGTACGAATATGCAGACGTAAACATGCTGCGCCTCCTGGAGACCTTCCTGGAGAGCGCCCCTCAACTGGTGCTACAGCTCTGCATAATGATCCAAAAGAACCGTGCAGAAACATTACCATGTAAGTGGCCCCTCTCTTCCCCACCTTCCCAGCCTCTCCCCTCTGATCCCAGCGCTCAGCAGCTGATGGATGTGTTGCTCACTTGGGCTGCCACTTTGGGACAAAGTTCTGCTGCGTTGGCTGGGTAAAATTTCTGCTTGTTCCTCTGAGGACAAAAAAAAAAAAAAAAGTCAGTGTGAAGGAAAAGGTGGGATTCAGCTCTTCCATGCCCAGTCCAGGCTAAAGGAATGATGGTGCTGTCAGGAGGAGGCAAGCAGGCTCTGCTGCTGTGGCATCACTCGTTTGTAGCTTGGCACTGGGCAAACGCGACCATTCTCTGCCTCAGTTTCCCTTCTTGCATAAGTAGGGTGATAAAACTGGCCAGATTTGAGTTTGTGTTGTGTGGACAAATGGCTCAATGCCCATGCAATGCTGTGATGGTGATAAGTATAAAAAAAGGGGGGTTTTGACAATGCTGTAGTGCCCAGGAATTAAGGTCTTGTCATTGGTACCATGGTTCTCACCAAGCCCAGGAAAAGAGAAGGGGAAGGCAGTGGAGGGGACAGGGATATAGTGGAGGTTTAATTGCAAAGGCAGACAGATCAGACAAGGCTTGGATACCACCACAGGGAGGATTTTACCAATTCTGGTGCTCGCCACTGCTGTGATGTGCTGAGCATGGGGCACCTGTCCCTGTCCCAGCCCTGGCATGAGCAGCTCTCCCAGCCCATGGCCATGCTGACAGCCTGGGGATAACCAGCCTGAGGGACAGTCATCTTTCCCAAGGACCAGCAGTGGAGCTGCTGGGTTATTCATGCACCATGGGTGACATTCAGCTTCCCAAAGACAGCCTGGCTGGGGCCTGTCATTTCTGAGGAGTTTCTGGAGCTGAGGTGGGAACTGAAATTGGAATTTGCTTTGGGGTTAAATGTGGCCGTTTTTGCCAAGGTCACCAGTATCTACAGCATCAAGGAAGGCCAACCACTCTCCCTTTCCTCTGTATTTCCAGCATGTCCATCACAGTTGTTTATAGAAGCCTTCCTCCTCATATTTATGCAGTCTTTTCTTGAAACCTCTCATCACGAGCTCTCCAGGCCTCCAAAGTGCTGACATGATGAATATGCCTTTCTACGACTCCTGCTAGAATGGCTCACATTTGCCAGCCCCCTTTCCCTGCTGCTTCCAGCGTTATTAACCCGGCTGAAAATGCAGAAATCACAGCCCAGGAGGTTTGCCAGGGCGCTCTGCAGATTGCTGGGCTCGCCGCAGAAAGCGCCGGGTGAAGTTTGTTGCCCTCCGTTGTGCTGCGAGTCAGACAAACGCGGGAGAATAATCCCTCCAAGGCTTTCAAACCCGTGCCTCTTCCACTTTGCCACTTCCCAGGCACGGCTGGAAATCCACTGGAGGAGCTGCATCATTTTTCCAGCATCCCCATCCCCTCCCTTCCCTTGCAGTTCCTCTGCTCCTCCAGCGCGCCCAGCCGGCTGCGCTCCGTTCCAAGGCAGCGCACGTCCCCGCCTGCCTCCCCGAGCCCCGGAGGAGCCCTGGAGGGCTCTTTGCTCGCCACGCTCCAGCAGCCGAGCTCGCCAGGTCCCCAGTGCATCCTCTCCCTGCATCCCTCCCCGCATCCCTCCCCGCATCCCGGTGCTGATGGATGAGAGCAGCGGAGCTTGCTCAGCGCTCTTTGGCTGCGGTGCGAGGTTTCCTAAAGCTCCTCCATGCCCGTTCAGTGCTTCTCTCTTCCACCTCCTCCTCCTCTTCCTTCTCCCCGCGGCCGGTCCGTAATTATACAAAAGCAAATTAAATGCTGAGAGGAGCCGTTGTGAAAGGGAGCGTCAAAGATTTTCACTTAAAGCAGGCAAAAAGCAAAGGGAGGTGGATGCCGTCAGGAAGGCAGTGTGTTTAAAAATCAAATCGAGTCTCTCCTGGCTCATCGGGTCTGTGGGAGCGTGGCTCGTCACAGGAAGGGGCCAGCTCTGCCTCTAAACAGGGACAGCATCCGCTGCATCCCTGAGGGATGCTCACTGGGAAAACGGCCCAGGGAAGGGTTTAAAAGCCCAGGGACAGCCCCTGCTGATGTGTCCAGGCTCCAGCTGCTTCCATACATTCCCCACAGACTCTTATGGATTCATTTAGTGCCAGACAAGGGCAGTTCACCATTTCCTGTGGCTTGCATCCCTCTTCCAAACCCCAGCCCTCCGTGCTCTTTAGATTGTAATGCCAAGCCCAGGCTCCACTTTTCCCCAAAAAAAGTCAACTTCTATTTAAGGGACTTTAGAAAGGGAGTTATTGGAGTGGCTATCAGGAGGTTTTGCTTTTGTCTCCTAATTCCTGTGTTAATAGAGCTGTTGAGGAAAGAAGAGTGAACACACTGGAGGTCTTTACTCAGACCCAGGACATCTCCTCCAAAGCATTTCTGCCACGCAGCATGGTGGTAGAAAGGGCTGATCTCAGAAGGATGAGTAGGAAGGGATACAACCAGGAAAATGCTTAATTTCCTGGGTTTCAATCTATTGAGTGGGTGGAAGAAAGAAAAACCTCATCATGCCTTGCAATTTGAGCATGTACCTGTGTGGGTTGGGTGGGATGTGTGTGTTGTTCCTTCAGCACTCAAAGAATGGAGCAGTTTCACCCAAAAGTGAGATTGTCCAGCAGCAGAAGTGCTGGAGCTGGAATTTGAGGCCAAGACCCAGCCTCATTAAAGCTTGGGACAAGAGCTCTGGGATTTCATGAGGATCAGGATTCATCCCTTCATCATATCCCCAGCACAAGGCAGAGCAGATCCCAGCTTAGCTGCCCTTATTTGAGGAACAACAGAAAAGAGCACTGAGAGCAAAGAGGTGAGAAATCCCTGTACTCCATCAGGTGGGCAGTGGAAGGTGAATGTTGAGAGCCTGGGCTGGAATTCTTTGGTTGGAGGAGCAAATGGAACAACCTCAGCTCCTGAATATCCATACAGAAGGAGCTGGTGATGGTGGGCAGGCTCTCTGTGAAGGATTTACCTGCTACAACCACAGCTGGGTGGGCCCAAAACAGAGTCAAGAGAAGGTGAGGGAAAAAGGATGGATCCAATAAATGGAACAGATCATGTCCAAAGCAGCTGAAGGAGGAGATGCTCAGCCTCCAGCTGCACCTTTCTCCAGGGAATCTGATGCATTTACACCTATCAGGAGGGTTAGGCTGAGGGAGGGGAAGGGATGCTGGAGAGGATGCAGCAGTGCCACCCTAACTGTGTCTGAGGTTTAGGAGGGGATAAAAGGAGAGGATAAAAGGGTGTCCATCTCTCAGACTCCTGGGCAACAATGGCCAGAGGACTTCCCCTGATTTAAATCATGTGTTTGCAGGGGAAAACACAACATTAACAAGAGAAAAAGCTCAACAACCCAGATCTTCATTCCGTAATCACTCCCAGCAGATAATCCACCTCACTCCTTGCAGAACAAACCATCCTTAACCCCCTTCACCCCCCAGAGGTGCTGACCAAACCAGCTTAAAGGAGACACCCAACCTCTAGGCAGGCAGGGAGGTGAGAGGGATTCCAGTTTTTCTGGCATAAATCTCCTCTTAAAGAGGTTTGCTTCCATTTAATTTTTTTTTTTTTTTTCATGTGGCTTCTTTAAAGCTTAATGAGATTTAGCAGAAGCCCCAACATCTTTCCACTCATGTCATGAGTTCTTTACACAAAGATTTCTGCCTGCATTTTCAGTGCAGGGTTCTCTCCCTCCAAAAAAAGCCACATTTCTCCACAGATGCTGTGTCCACCTCCTCGATAACCCTACAGTTGACCTGAAAGAGATTTGCAGCATAAGCCTTCCTTTGTAAAGTCCTGCTGGAATCTTCAGGATTTTGGGAGGTGTCTGCACTCTCCACAGCCCACAAAAGTAGGCTGAGGCTGCTCATGTATTTAAGGAAAAGCAGCATTAACTCATAGGGTTTGGAGAGTCTTTTTTCTTTTTCTTTTTTTTTTTTTTTTTTTTGTTTTTTTTTGAGCAGAGTGATACAAATTAGGCATTAAAATGGATTTCAGACATCTCAGCTACAGATGTGTGCTGGCTGCAGAGTTATCCTGGTGGAGTTTGCAAATCATCTTGTCCCTCCCAAAGCAAAGCTCTATTTATTTATCATGTTCTGCCTCGTCTGTATACCATGCCTGGAGACCATTTATGATCCCTTTTTGTAGGGGCAAACAAAAGATGATTTTCCCTGTCACTTAGGTCAGCAGACTCAACAGGTCAACTGAATTAGAAAGGGACCTTCAGCCTGTAGGTGTTCAAAAATGTGATTTTCAAGTGACATCAACACTGGCCTGAACATAACTGAGGAGACTAAAATCCCTGAGTTTCCAGTGAAAGTGGAAAAAAGAGTCATGATATTTGAAATTTCAGCCTTTTCATCACTTACAGGACCACTAAAAGTTAGTGCAAGACCCTTCACACTGGCCTGACCCAAACAGGTGTGCCCAACAATGTTCAAACAAGAATCCAAACCCCCAAACCCAACCTCTGTGACCTCACAACACAAAGTTGTCCCCATCTATACCGAGTGCCATAACCTCATAAATAAACCAGGTTTCATTCTACACAGGCACCAGATCCCGTGGGGATCAGTGTAAAATTCAATATGGCATCTGCAGATTCTGTGTGGGCGAGTCCTATTTCTACAAAGCAGAAATCCTCTTCCTGACTGGTGCATTTTTCCTGAGATCCACCAAGACAACTTCACTGTATGACTAAAGAAATCTTTGCTTTATAAAGTCCTCAGCAACAGGAGATGGGGTGGGGACAAGATCTACCAGAGCCACGCTCTGGGCTTTGGCTCAGGTTCTGAGACAGATCATGAGGAAAAAGAGATGCTAAAACTTTACCCAAAGGCAGATATTCTTTTTTTCCTTTTTTTTCCTCATGTCATTCCTTGGGGGTTAAAAGCAGTGGGAGACATCCATCACCTGGTTTCTTGTGACAGAAGAGGCACAAGCAGGAAAGCAACTGCTCATTGCCATGTGGGAAAGGGACCCCACCATT